AAGAGGTGAGACAAACTGACAGGACCAGAAGAAGGGAGGAGAGAAAAGAAGGAGGGGCGGATGAATGCTGCAGCCATGGGCTTTCTACCTCTTGCAACTGTTCTGCAGTGAAACCTCCATCTCTGCGGTGTGTGATGTCTTCACTCACGGTTCTCGTCTTTCATAAAAAAGAATGCACATGGACGTTTATTAGGCGCTGGAGGACAAACATGAATACACGGAAAGAGGAACAGGAAAAGAATGTATTGTTGTTGTTGTAACTGTTGTTTCCCCTAGAGTTCAGACTTCTGATGATGATCATCTGATGCCATGACAGGTTGAAGCATCATCAGTCATGCTGAAACGTAGGAAGCAACTCTTGGGAATGCAACAGCACGGTACATGGTTTTCAGTCTTTTCCACTTTGTCATCCCACTAACACTGACATCCAGGTTAATCCAATCTCAGTAGGAGTGTGAAAATGCAAAGAAAATGTTGTGGCCAGTAATGATAAGCACATGGATGGGCAATATTGAGTAGTTCAATTGCAATGTCTAATCTAACACTACCTGAGTGTCTTCAAAATGGCCTGAGTTGGAGAGCTCTCGTCCTCACCAAGTCTTCACACCCCACAACTCAATGGAAATAATTGGTTATAAATATTCAAAAGAAGCAATCATTTGTTTCAAGTGGCGAATGTAAGACAACCTTCTGGAACTCGAGTTTTCCCTCGCCAACACTGGGTGTCCAATTACTCCAAATCCCTTTTGGCAAAAATTGGCAACTAAAATGCAAAGAAGACATTTATAGCAGGAGAGGCAGGCACGTTTTCTAAGACACAAAAAGCAGAAGGATTTCCATGAAAAGAACAGTGGACTTATTTCTAATCAAATAAAGGAATAATGTAAATATGTAACTGGAGAATATGTAAAGAGCTGTACAATGCATAAAAACATGTTATTTTAATAATAACAATATGGTTGTGAATAAGTAATGATTGAAAGTGGTGGGAGGAACCCCAGTTCAGTCACTGATTACTTTTATTTGACGGCTATTACAGATCACAGTTTATCATCTATGTGTTAATGAGAAACATTTTCCATAACACATACTGTGTGAACTATTGTGAAGCTGCTAGCTGAAAAGCACCTTTGAAGTGCCATTTTCCTGGTGTTTCAGAGGTGTCTTCTAATATTTATAGCAGCACAACAAAAAAGGGGCTATGCATGGATACTTCTACAACTTTGATCATATATTTTTTGTCTTGTTTTCATTTGTCAGCAAAACTAAAAAGGGATTATCTAAGAATGGAAATCAGGGCAGTCACGGCTGGCCGGCAAAAGCAGACCGAAGATGCCAATCTTTTCTTCCTTTTAGAGTCGTTCTCCTCAGCAGCTAACTGTTTCACGATGTTGACACATAATAGCATCAGCAGGTCCTCTCATCCACAGAGATTCTGGCCCCTCTCCAGCTGTGTGTCAACCTTACCAATAATGGCAGCAGAATAACAAATATACCCTAAAGAAATCACAGAGGCCTTTGAGACTACAGGGTGCAGATCTCATAAAGGTTATGTTTCCTCCTGGCTCAAATAACATTTCAAAAGATAACGTGTTCTTCAGCAACAGAGGAACAGATGTGTCTCTCTGGATTATAGCAATAGATTGCTCTTCAAGTTGGCATAAATGCAAAAGGCACTAATTAAACACTAAGTAATAAGAAATAAAATATTTACAATGCTTAAATTCACAGTGATGAATGTGATCTTTTTTACTGGCTCTGAGTTTCACTTCTCTTCCTGCATTGGCCAATCAGCAGTGGCCTGTCACACTGTTTCCAGGCTGTGAGATACATTAAATATTGATGGTGAGAAGCCAGAGGATTTGCATCATACTTTTTTCAATTGTATAAAACTGGACACAGGAGGATAAGAAAAATAAAAGAAATGATGGAGAAATTAGATCAAGGTTTCTAACATGCCAGCTTTTGTTTCTGACTAAGCACTGGAGTGAACATACATTTGTGAGAGCACAGAGAAGAGCTAAAGAGGAGGTTATCATGAAGGATAGTGAAATCTTGATCCCCGTCTTTCGCCATGACTACAGATACCACAAGTAACCTGGACAACAGGCTGATAATATTACCATCAAGGTATGTTAATTTTTCTCAAAGAAAGGGACCTGTTATAAATTTATATACATATATTTAATAACAAATTATATTCCTCCATATAATGAAATAAATTATGTGTTTTATTTTTGGTATCTTATGACTGATACAATAACATTGCTTTTGTAACACAGTATAAACACTGTCATTACCAATTAATACACCAACAACAACATCCATAACATATGCATGTTGTAAAACGTAGAAGCTTAGATTAAAGCAGACAATAGTTGAAATGATAGTTAATAAAAATAATAAATGTTGCAAAAACCCTACGCTTCAGACAAATACTTAATTCCTTCCATCTTTCTCTTGGCAGACATTCTGACTCGTCATAAAAGGGAAAGCAAAGGTGACACTAACAACATTTACGATGACTCTGTACCATTAAAGAGTTACTTCTGCCTCTGAGTCGGTGCACAATACCACAACACCCAATACCTGCCCTGACATATTACTGCTATTATTTACATGTTGTTTGACAGGTCAACATATCTGCTTTGAGAAAAGTCGACTAACCTTTTTCACAACAGCCCATTCTTACAGTAAAAGCACAAACATAAATAATGGCTACATTCTGTTAAGGCTCACTGGAATGAATGCACTGCAGCTGTTAACAATATTAGTTATACCTGTCCTTTTTCTGTTACTGAGTCAAAATGTTTGCTGTGAAAACGGCCCATCAGACCTGGTTTTATGGAAATGAATTGATCATCAGAAAACTTTAATAACTAGCCAACATGAAGCAAACTTTGGATCATTCTCTGTTTTATGTTTCTTGGCCTTGAGCTTTGGCTCCCACTCCATCTCTGATCCATATTTAGAAAGGAGCGCAGTGCCCTGTAGATTGGGGCACCAATTAAATAGCTATTAGAGGACTTCTGAAGTGGAAGATGATGTACTGGATAGCAGTGAATGACTTGAATATATCAGCCCTCCTTTTATATCAACTGTTCTGATATTTATGGGTTGCGTCTCACAGGAAAGGTGTCCACACTATTTTAGTTTTAGCTGAAGGTCGAACTGTGAGAATTGATTTGGCCTTGGCTGAGCTGTGAAGTTGAGAGGCGCATTATGCAAGATGAACCTGATCCTCTCTTCCCTAAGACTGTCGAAGGGAGGTGCTGACCCGCTTATTGATGACTAGACTCCACTTTTTTGCATGAGTAAGCACAGGTCTCCCCCCTGCCACTGTGTGGACGTGTGAGTTGTGACTGGTCATTGATCGATGCAAAACCTGTCTTCAAAAAAAAAACAGTCAGTGTACTTGTGCTGCTCTCCGCAGTCAGGAGCTCACAGTAATGCCGACGCAATGCAGCGAGTGGACCACAGACCTGGGACCTATGGGCAACACTACCCCTTTCATACAAGGTAGAGCTCCACTCATCCTCACTGCTTGTACTGCTTAGCTTTACCTAGGGACAGAAGACAACATTTCATCTAAACTTAGCTAAAATGAGCATGACATGTAGTCTTTGGCATCATCAGTGTTATAGGGAATTTTCTCATGCAACAAAATTCAACTTTTTGGATAAAAAACATGAGAGACTGTAAAAAATTCTAGTTCTTGAACTGTTATTGTCGCACATTTCACACACTTGAACACAAGAGACAAAGACAGTAACTTGATTTTAATTTCCATGTAGATATAATCACCATCAGTCAACATAATTATCCCATAGCGCTGATTGGACGTAATCAAATCCCTGTAATTGTCTTTGATTCTGGGGTATTGAAGAGAAACAACGATTTCTACTGTTTCATTTCTGCCTCTGTTCAACCAGACATTTGAAACAGGCCCTGCCATCATCTTGAAATGCTGGTGGTAGAGCAGACTATGAATAATAGACCAAAAGAGACCCAAGTGGCCGGTGAATTGTTGAAAAGTCAATGGCGATAGTGCCTGGAAAAAGTTTTCTGGTAACAGAGCTGGTATCTTTCACACCTGTGCTGAAAAACATCTAAAGCAGCCTGGACGTGTGTAGTCAGTTTCTGTGATACTCTGCATGACAAAAATCTTTCATTTCACACCCACACAGCACAGATACCTTAAATGAAAAGTTACAAAAACAATAGAATTATGAGGAAAACAACTTTTCTGTCTTGACCTTAGGTATTATGACTGATGCACTGACATAAAATGATTTCACAAGATTTAAACAGGGGTTTTGATGTTTGACAGATGCAAATATCTACAAGACAATTGTGCAATTCTATGTTCCTCTGCCTCTCATATCCATCACCCTTGTTTTGGCTGATAGTCTTGAATACCACCCAGGGCACCCGATACTGCTCACACTTCCAAGGTTATGTGTGGTTTACTTTTTCATCTTCAGCCAGGGAAACTTTCTGTGCCTGCCTGAATGTGGCAAATTGAGGGAAAAGATCTCACTCATAAAATGTGACTGCTGCTGAGTGTCGTGTGCTTAAAAGATTACTGATTGGACCTTTTGAGCCACAGAAAAATAACTTTCACACACTTTAGGTCAGCTGCAAAGGAGAGAGCTGAGTCAGTAGAAGCGCAGAGTGAGATTCAGGGGGCCTCCAGGGGTTCTTGTGGGGCCCGAGAAGGACAGTAAATACAGTTTTATCTTGTATTTCACCAAAGAAGAGAGTGCACTAGAATAAATATTGGAAGTCTTATGTGTAGCCGATATATTTGTATAGATCTAGATAAAAAAATGTACCCACTGGTGCTTCAGATGAAAAGGATTGCAGCTGGTGCGATTTATACTGATAATAATAATAATTCCGGTCAATCCGGTAGATGGCGCAGTTGCAGTGCCTCCAGGACCGAGCAGCATCCAGAGCGGAGCGCACCCTTTTTAATGTTGCAATAGCGTGCAGTGTAGTGGCCAGGCATATGTTTGTAGGGGTGAGAAGGAGCAGGATGATGGTACTTTCCTCCCCGTCAGCCTTGATGAGGATTTAGATTCCCAGTAGCTGCCCTGTTCAGTGGCCTTGAGGATGTACGGTGATGGAGAGGGCACCGTGTGGGACCGGGTCGGACGTCCCCACCGGGACTGTATGTGCTACCTTGGACCTCCTACTTCTTTGATGCCGATGTAAGACATTTAAACTTTTACAAATGCACTGTGATAGGAGGAGGCAAGGCTACACCTGTTGCGCACTTGATTTCACGGGTTGCATTGATAAAGTAAATCGACTTAATTAAGCAGAAGTGTTAAAAAATATTAGGTAAAGTGTTATTCTCTTTGAATTTAATTGATGGTTTACATTTAAACAAGGGTTTATTGCCTAATAGTAATTGTGAGTCAGATTACAATACTACAAACATTATACGGGTTATGATTTAGGATATGGCAGCACAGGGGGGAATTTCACACGTCGGTTTTCTCTGAGTGGGTCAGTAAATCATGTTTTTGCTTTCACATGTTGGCGGTTTCATAACAGCTTAGCGGCTGTCAAGTCACCAGAGCCTTATTTGTGCAATACTCAACGATATATATTTTTTGTTTTATCTCACCTGCTGGAGACAGTAATCTCCTCTGCATGATTAAAGGATATTTGATGGGTTCCTGTGTTCGGTTGTGCGCAGTTTCGTGCGCCACTGCCTTTATACATGAAGCGCCTGAGCTGTCACAAGTGTTCCTTCTCCGTCTCCACAAATCACTCATGATCGATTCATTAGTTTCACATTCCTATAAGCCTATAATAGGAGCTGCACAGTACATAGTATACAACAGTTGCAGGAGCAGTCACTTTCGCTTAGTGTCTTTCACACTGCTGCTGTGCGGACGCAGGGCCAGTGAAGGATGAGGATTTCTGTACTGTACAAGAGAGGCGCTGCAGGGGCCCTTAACGCAGGTCTGTGTGGAGCATACAGCACTGACTTTACTGGTTTAGCCCAGGAGAACTCTATACAAGGTTTACAGGCTTCCACTTTCTTTGACAAGCGGTCTCACTTTGTCTTATAACACTGCCAAACCCTTGTTCTCTCTTCCCAGCGGGATGCGCAAGTCGCCCGACGTGAGCCCCAGAAGGCTTTCGGACATCAGCCCTCAGCTCAGACAGCTCAAGTACCTGGTGGTGGACGAGGCCATCAAAGAGGACCTGAAGTCCTCCCGCTCAGTTGAGGACATCAACAGCGCGTCCATAGAGGAGCGAATATTAAGAATCACCGGCTATTATGGATACCAGCCTTGGAGTGCAAGCTACAATAGTGAGTCAGTTTTACACGCATGGAACTGCAGCTGGTTCATTGTTAGATTCTTTATGTGGGTGGATGGAGTTAGTGGACACATGTTTGATAACTGCATGCGAGGGTATAATGTGTATTTACCCATGGTCATTGGTGGCAGGAGATATTTTACATAAGTAAAAGTAGTAAAACCACAGTGTGGAGAGTCCTGCATTCAAAATTTTACATAAAATTACAAAAGTTAATATAAACTTTTATAATATAAAAAAATATACTTCAAGTACAAAAATAAAAGTAGGCTAACTGATGCAGAATGGTCCCTTTCAGAATAATTAAGCTGTTAAAAGCAGGCTCATACTGCCAGGTAGTTTTAATTCCCAAGGCATCAATAAAGATGTGTCTTTATCCGTAATACACACATCATTTATTTGTTGATTATATTTGTATTATGAATCTAAATCTGCAAAGTAAAGGTGTCAAATGTCAAGCATAAAGTAGCATAAAATGGAAATACTCAAGTAAAGTACAATTACCTCCAAATTGTACTTAAGTACATTACTTGAGGGAATGTTTCTATTAACTTAGCACCACTGCCTATGTGCAGTCATTTGAAGGTTTCTCACTGTTCCTGAGTTCACAGAATGATGGAAATCACCCTGTTGCATTGTTTAACTGATTCACATTTAAGGCAGAGTGATGCCCCTTCAATCCAAACACTCAACTTCCTTCTCTCCATCCTTTCATCCACACCCTTTACAGATTTGATTTTAAAGCAAAAAAACACCAGGCCTGTTGTTCCATGCACAGAACAGAATGTATAAGAAAATGATGTTACACATGGTGTTAGCCACCATGCTGCTGCTCATCTTCATCATTATTTTCACCACATTATCACCACATTATCATCACATTATCTTCATCACTCTGAGAATTAGTCGCTAAAGCATCAGTGTTGCGGTTGGTTGCAGCAGACAGTGAAGCTAATGTTTGGTTCAGTGGAGTTTGTTGAGCTTGGAGTCAGACAATGCTCAGAGCAGTTGATTCTTTGAAGAAAAAAGTTGTCCGCGCAGATTTTATTTTCCTCATTTCCTTTCTCTCCATCACTTCAGTTCATTTGCACAGAATTAAACGCCTGAGCTGTAACTGCTGCTCAGCCTGGCTGGATGGTGGATTACAGACTTGCTTCATCTTTTGTAGGAGCTCTATCTTGCTTTGGTGGTATCAGGACAAACCGCAGTCTTAGTAACTGTCAATCTTTTGTTCATTTGTTTGTTTTTGCTGGTCTGATGTGAATACATTCAGTGGCTCATGATCTTTAGCTGGTAGCTGGGGGAACATTTTGTAAATTTCATATGAGAGACTGCAATATTAAAGAGCTGCAAGGCTGCTTCAAAATTCATAGGCCTATACATAACATCTGAACACTGCAGACTTCACAAGACAGCTGCTGTTCACATCGGAATTTGTCCTCGCTTCTTTCTTTCTGGTGCTGCGACAAGGGATAGTGAAATAAGGTGGAATATTAAGAAGGGGATATGGCAACCGTGAATCAGGATTGAAATATGTTAATTTTTTTGTTACAAGAAGAGCGATGCCTATTTATTTAAATTTTATGAAAAATACACAATACACACTACGGTATATGCCCTTTGATAAATAGTAAGAGTTTTTATACACTGAACTACAATTAAAGCTGTTTTGCAGTGAAGCCAAGTTGGCCTTCAAGGGGCATATGGTTAGTTGTTGGTCATCAATACTGGTAAAATGGATCAACAAATAGTGTTGATATTTATTAATGTAAAGAGTAATACATTTGCCATCTCTGTTGCCATCTCTTGTGTTTAAAATTTGCTTAGTCTACCTAAACTCCTGTCTGAAATACTCTTTTTTTACGTGCAGGTAATTTATACACTTCCGTAAATGTACAATATGTAATTTCTGCCACAGCGGGATCTCTCACATCAAAACAACAACAAAGGACGGAGTGTGAATGATGAAGAGTGATGTTGTTGTTTTATTGGGAGCCGAATTACCTGCAGAGATCCCATCATCTCAAAAATAAAGGTGATTAAAAACAGTAAAAACACTGACTAAAGCAGTTTCACATTAAAAATCTGTGTTTCTCCAACGCTGTTCAGCAGACAAAGGAAGTCCAGAGGGCGTGCGAGCGAAAATTACTTAATTGTCTGGATTTGAACATTGTTAGACACATTTGGGATATTGTAAATGCACAACCCAACAAAGTATATGAAATAGATACACATTTTAATGTGCAAATGTTACATATTATAGCTTTAAGAACTGTGTTATAAACCGATTTAAGCAACTCATTACCTTTTATTTAACAGTTAATTATAGACAGCCTAATTATAATAGCTGTTGTGGAAGTAATGCTTGTTAGAGTGGTTGTGTTTTCATCAAAATGAGAGTGCTCAGACACTTCACTTTAAATGAAATAACTACAGTTTAATTCTAAAACACAATGTTCATGTTGAGAAAATAATGTTCCCCTGAAAAAACAGCCACACTTTGAGGTATAGAGCGTAGTCCATCTCCTAAAATACTATTGTGGACGGCAGTCATATTGCGAATTAAGTATTTCCTGATGAGTTGCACTGTTGCATCAGATGTTCTTTTGTGTGCATGGCCATCAGGGGAACATCTCTTTTCTCAATTAACTGATGTTGCGTTTTGCCTTTCAGGAAACGTTGTTCAGCTTGCGTCTGTTCACTCTTCCTTCTGGACCACCTACGGTAGTTGCAGCTGTGCTTCTTGGGGACAGAAGTCCCACTTGTCACACATTGCACACAATTGCATGCCATGCGTTGAACAGAATCAGCCCTTAGCTCCCTCCAGCACACACACGACCTGACTACTCAGGACCCACTGACAACTAGAAAGCAATGGCTAATGGCTAGAGAGTGGAGGGCTGATGCTGAAGGCAGCCAATTTCAGGTGAGGTAGGAGGCTGAGTACTTCTCAGTAGAGTGAAAAGAGATGCCGGTTTGTTTCATTTACCACCAACCTTTCAAAACTGACACACGTGCTTTTTCACACCGGAGTAAGCATCGTAAGAGGGAAAGTGGAGCTGGTAGTGAGCCATGACACGGGCTGAGGATGAAAGGTGGCTGTGTGACTCAGCTTTTCTGTGTGACTTAATGGATCATCTAACTATCCTGAATATGAGACTGCATGGATCACAAACATGCAGGATGCTGTAATAGCCCCCTGAGCACAACAGTCTGCATGTGAAACAGAGCCAGATACAACATAAAAACCTTGCTCATTTACTAAACCAGCATGTGAATCAGTTTCCTTTGAGTGATGTTCATGTAAACTCGAAGCAGTATTGAGTTTCGCTCTTGTAGTAGATATAAGCAAATTATACTGCAGGTTTGTCCCTTTTATCCCAGGATGCCACGGTATATGCTCAGCTGTTTGCATGTACCTGCAAGGTCTTCTGATTCTTGTCTCAGACTTCGCATCTCTCTTCCCTGGCTCCATCCACTGCAATAGATTGATATACACTAGATACAGCTAAAATGGCAGTAATCAATTCTCCTCTCAGTGAAGATCAACATTATACTCCACCTGAGAGAAAAACACTCTTACTGCACTGAAGATGGCCGCAGATTCTGTTTGATGTGTGTATCAAAGAAAAGGTCGCTGTTCACTGGAGAAAGGTTACTGTAGAGAATATGTTGAGCTTAAATTTTTATATATCATAAAAAACACATTTGTCTTTAAGATTTAGCATTCTTCTATTCTTCTTGTTCTGCATTGGAAATCAGAAACTTATGGCTAACTATTTTTTATTGACAACTTAGAGCCATGACCCTTGGACATCCACTGATCACATGTGGCATAAAGCAGCAACCCAATACAGTAAGTGCTGCTGAAATTCTGACACACTATCTCATGTCCATTGGGGTCTACTTCTGCTTAATTCGAAAGGAAATATTATAAGACCTACCCATATCATGATTAATAAAACATGAACTGAACATCCTTTTTGCATACTAATAAGATTCTTTATAGAAACTGAATTTCATTTCGCTGCTGCAGGTTAAGATACAAGGGAACTCTTTTCAGATGCGGGGAAATTGGAAAGTGAAAACCTCTTTTTAAATTGAGAGTGTCATCACTTTCCCCTTTGCCTGCAAAGTCATTGGGACACAAGACAGAAAATCCCTTTTAGCTGAAATGATATCACTTGAATCCAAATCTTGAGTTTAGTGTTTTGGGGAGTTTACTTGATGCTGTTTATTTTAGTTTATTTCCCCCTTTAGTTATTAGTTAGTATTTGTATTGCATTGTTGGTCTTTAGCATTCATAAATACTATATATACAGTATATGCCTGTCGTGTGCAGTGACCTGAAACATGAAAAATACTCATGTATAGGTGCATTAAAAGAGGAGACTTGCAGTAGCAAAATGACCAAATGGTAGCCATAGAATATAAGTGAACATCTGAAACTATTTATTTTTATTTATTATTTTTCTTGCAGGCTAACTTCCGACCTTGTAATATTTGAGAGCGAAGTACAGTATATGTTTATTGCAGGTCCTTTTGAAAATAACATTACCTTAAAAGGAAAGCTTGTTGCCAACTGCTGCCTTATATTACAGCATTATTTTAAAATGTATTCATTAAGTTAAAATAGGTTATTTTGCTCGGTAGGTGTTCCAGGCATTTCTAGAGTTAAGTCTGTGGTCAAGTTCAGGCTGAAAAGTTTGTTTTACTTAATATCCTCATAGAAAGAAACTGCATTCTCTAAGATAAGGCCTTCTTTTGCCTGTAAAATTGTCTCTTTAGGTTTGTAGGTTCCTCTAAGAAGTAAAAACATTTGTCAGACAAACAGACTTTGTTCTTTTCCTAATTTACTCACACTATCTATCTCAAATGTAACGTCCCCTCTGGTGCAAATTTAGGGCTTCATGAGGCATGAAATGAGGTTGGATTCTATTTTGAGCTCTGGGTTTGGACATGGTGGGCTGCAACAGTGGAGCAGGTTGTAGA